ATTATCTAGACCACGGGTGTAAAATTTGCCATGTCAGGTTGATGTCACTTGACATATCGCAACATTTTCCCCTTCACAGAGCTGAGGTAGGCGTGGCCTGCATGTGATGCATCCGGCCCACAGGCCACCAGTTTGACACACCTGGTCTAGACTCTTCTTAAAAATATCCAGTGATGGAGTGGCCACAATTTCTGGAGGCAAGCTGTTCCACTGATTAATTGTCCTCATTGTTAGGAAGTTTCTCCTTAATTCCAGGTTGCTTCTCTCTTTGATTAGTTTCCAACCATTATTTCTTGTCCTGTCCTCTGGTGCTTTAGATAATAATCTGACCCAGTTCTTTGTGTCTGTCCCTCAAGTACTGGAATGCTGCTCTTATGTCACCCCAAATTCTTCTTTCTTTAGACTAGCCAAACCCAAATCCTGCAGCTGTTCTTCATATGCTTTAGTCTCCAGGCCTTTGATCATCTTAGTTGCTCTTCTATGAACTTTTTCCAAAGTCTCAACATCTTTTTTGTAGTATGATGACCAAAATTGGTTACAGTATTCCAGGTCTGGTCTTATTAGGGTTTTATAAAGCAGTACTAATAATGCACCTGATCTTGATTCTATGCCTGTTTATACAACCCAGGATTGTATTCTATTCCCACATAAAATTATTCCATACATTTCTTGGGTGTCAATTCATGGAGCACGTTGAGGACTTATTTATAAGAAAATGTGCAGAGATTTGCAGAGATAGTCTCTTACATTTGTTTCTTAACTTCGTTTTTTATTTTCTGAACTCTGTATAATCCAGATTTTTCTCCCTTTATTTTCTACTGTTTGACCCTTCAAAATCACAAGACTTGCTGGATTATGCAAAACCATGCAACTAATAAACTTCAAAAGGTTTTCTTTTTAAAAAATCTTTTTGTTTTTTTTTTTTCCGGTTCGGTTTATTATTTTCTCAAATCATGATGCCAGTACACGCTGCGTGTACGATTCTAGGCACTTCAACCACAAAAACCCATTAAAACGCAGCTAAAATGCATCTTCTTGGTGAAATCCCAGGAACAAGATTCATTGGGAAAACTGGGAACTTCCTTCCAAATAAAAATACGCATGGCTGCGTTACAGGATGTATTTGTTGCCCGTGCAAATGTAAACATAGTGCAATCACCCTCTCAAGTCAGAGGGACTCGCTCCGCGGTCTTCCTTAACTTTGTACCCCTCCAGGAGTGTGTGACTTAACTTCCTTTCATTGGCATTAATTAATTAACCTCCTTTCATTAATTAAATTGTTTCGGAAAGGTGGGAGTTGAAGTCCAATTTATCCCGAGGCGCCAGAAGGAACCGATGACGCCCATTTGGCACCTTGGCTGAAAGGCAGAACCCTTCCGCTACTTCGCATGCGTTCCTACCCTGCGCCGTGCACGATGATGCATCGTCTCTCTCCAGCCTCCCAGAGCTTCGAAACAAGAACAGCCGCCCTCCGCAAGGACTCCGTTTTCAGCGTCTCCAACTGGTTTTTCTGCGTCAATGCACTACCTCCTAGTTTCAGAATGCAATCCACTTCAGCAGCCATTGTGCCCACACTTGCCGGCTCGCAATTTCCCAGCTGTCTTTGCTGACGCCACATCCGGCCAATGCCACTGTACCAATTTCAAGTTAGCCCGTCGGTGGCAGCGAAGGCAATCGAGTGAAATTGATGAGAATTTGAAAAATAACTACTGATTGCAACATCGAACAATTTATTGCTTTTTTTTGAGGGGGGGGGGATATGCGAGTATTTTTGTTTCAACTTTTCTTCCCGAATACTCAGAATGCTGCTCTTTCCACCTTTTAATCAAACTCTCGAGACAGGTTAAGACGAGTTGATTCCTGCTGAAGTAGAACTGCAGATATTCAAAGACACTATTTTATGAATTTTGTTTTCACAACTGGAACCAGGTTGCTGTGCATTTAGATGATTAATCGACAAGGGGGGGGAATGGCCCTAGGCAATGCAATGCATTTGCGAACATTAGTCTCCTTTTACTCCCCCCCCCCAATTGCTGTACAATGTAAATCAGACGGGGGTCAGAAAATCCATGGGCGATGATTATGTGCTAACATAGTGGCTTCATAGATAGAAAGGATGGCTTCATGCTCACAGAAACGGCTTATAGTGGGAAAAACATTCTAGAATAGAATATAATTCTTTATTGGCCAAGTGTGATTGGACACACAAGGAATTTGTCTTTGGTGCATATGCTATCAGTGTATATAAAGAAAAATAAAATAGAATGCATTCGTCAAGAATCATAAGATACAACACTTAGTGATAGTCATGGGTTACTAATAAGCAATCGAATTATACTAGGAAACAAATAAAACAATATCAATTTAAAAGATATTCATTGGCACTGCTAAGAACGTCTCCTTTTGCTGTTGTGATGGTGCTCAAAGGTAGCAAGGCAAGGATGCATGCAAAACAACCCGAAAGCACCTCTTTACAGGCAATGAAAAGCTAGCACTGAAGTTGTTCTCCAAATCGTTGGAGCAAACGTACAGGGCTCCCGTGACTCTCGTAACAGATTAAATCGGTAAAACGACATTGCTTCTTTAACCCCACATCCTGAGGAATAGCTACGCAGCCTTTTCGCCTCTCCTATTTTAATATTTTGCAGTCAACCCTGGAATCCACAGAGCGCTGTCATATGACTTTTTTTCTTGTTACTAGAAGGCTTGAAAATCATTAATGGTCCCTTAAATCGCGGCAGCGGATTTGGTTGGTTCCTATCAACGTCTACTATGGTGATGTCGCAGAAAATGACAGCGAAAGGCGGACCCGACGGTTTCTAGGAGCCTGCGCTGCTAGGTGAGTCTCTTGTTCCGTCGCCAATAGCATAAAAACCCCGATGTGGGTTGAGAGAAAACGGGGAGCACTTTCCTTAGCTTGTGGTACTGTGGGTGTAGCGAAGCTTGGAAGAATCCGACCTCTGCCCGTTGATCTGCGTGTTTTTCTGGTGGTTCGTGTCCCTGGAAAATGGTATGCTCTGAAAGGGAATTTAAAGCGCCAGAAGAAGCTGATCAGCAGGTAGGAAGCTAGTAACTATGAACAGCTGCCGTTCCTTCAGGAGTTGCAGCAAAAGACACCCTTATTTAATTGGGCATGTTTTTCATCATGACGTGTATATACAATCTTCACCTTTTCATTTATATATAAAAAATCCAAATTCTGCGTAATGAAGAAAAATTAAGTCGCAGATGTATCACATGAACATTTTATGGGAGATGTTGGCCATCAAAGTTCTGAGAAATCTGGCCATTGTGCAAGAGAGCTTCCTAGCTCTTTCCCCTCTATAAACCTCCCCCCCTGAGTAGTGGAAAAAGCCTCATCATCATCTTCCTTCCCTTTAACTTTCAAGTAATCTACACCACAAAGAGGAAGAAGAGTGTAAACTTTAGCAAATGCTTAAGAAAAATGCTTTAGTGAAGAATGTATGTGGAGATTTTAAGTCATCCAGGTCATGGTTGCCCCAGAGGTGCTTTTTTAAAAGGCAACTGGATTTCCTTTGAATATGTTTCCCTTCTTATCCAAGAAACTTCAGAACTGAAGAAGCTTCTTGGATGAGAAGGGAAACATCTTCAGGGAAAAAGAAAGAAAGTCCAGTTGCCTTTTGAAAAAGCACCTTTGGGGTTTTAATGAAGTACTCCAGGAATAAGAGAATCAGGCAGAACACACAAGGAATACAGTCTTTCTTTACAGGACATGCTTTGGGATGGGGAGAGTGTGTAGAAATCATAGGAGTGGGGAGAGATGGGATGTGAGGAGACTCCTTTCCCATCACATGGTCACCCAGTTTCTCAAGGCATCTCTAAGAAATGATTGGAGTGGGTGTGTATCTCTTCAGTCCCTGCATAGACCCATCACTCTTTACTCTGAGCTTGACTTAAAATATAGATTCAAACTAGTTGCAGATAGTGTCATTTCCAAATCAATAACTGCATCTGAGATTCAGGAAAGTTTTTCCAGCTCAGGTTGTGTGGTTATACATAGTCCTCGATTTACAACCATTTGTTTAGTATCAGTTTCAAAGTTACAATAGCATTGAAAATATGAATTATTACTGGTTTTCATAAGGTTACAGTCACAGTCATGATCGAAATTTAGGTGCTTAGCCACTTGCATGTATGATAATTGCACTGTTCCCAAGTTATGTGATCATCATTTGTAACCTTCCCAGCCAGATTCCAACAACAAAGACAAAAGGAGGAAACCAGATTTGCTTAATGACTGCATAAGTCATTTAACTGTAGTGATCTGCTTTAACAACTATGGCAAAAAGGTGGTAAAATGGAACAAAAATCATTTAACATATGCCTCGCTTAGCAATGAAAATTTTGCACTCAATTGTAGTTCTAAAATGAGGACTACTTACACGATTAATTTCTAATTTGGTCACTTCTTGAACATGTAGAAATTGGCATACATTTAAACAAAAAATCAATATGTGCCATTCCTCATTTATGCTTTTTCCAGATTGGGTAATTTCAGTGTGAGAGTAGAACTTTGGCTTTCATATTTATCCAACTAAATTGGGTACAAATTTCAAAGCATTCTCTGGACTGTCACAGAATAGAATGATGTCAAAATGGCTTGGATAGCTAGCCGTGATGTCAGAATGGCTTGGTTAGACCTCATAGCGCTAGAAAGAATATAGCTGGAGACTTCTGAGTTCTGCCAGACATTTCCCATAGCGGTGGGTTTGATAATTGGAAGATTGCACTGGTAGTCAAAAAAGAGTCTACAGATTGCATAAGAAGTGGGGTTCATTATATACAGCCTTTATTCCAGGTGACATTATTCAATTGTTATGGCGCTGCATGCTGGAAGGAAACATGGCACTATCCATCATCATTCTGTCTTATGAAGAAGTCTAGACCAGGCACTGCATAAGAAGGGGAAGATTATTCTGAAATCTTTACATTTATGCAAAATCTTATCCAGATACTGTGAAGGATAACATATTAAGTATGTATGTATTAGATATGCTTCAGAAGCTTCATCAAACTCATTATGATTCCTTTGGGTCTCTCTTCAGCTTCTCAGGCATCCAGGAATAACTTGGACATATCTTACATAAGTACAATCTGCCCCAGCAGGCTTTCTTCGCTTTCAAGAGAGTTTCCTGATAAATCTATTGATGTTTGTTATGGATCCCCCAAAGTATAAACTGAGAGCAATTTGAGATGTCACCAAACACTCTGTTTTTAAACATATGCTGGGAAATCATCTAAAACCCCAAGAGCATTGGGGAGGAGCCAAGCAGCCCCAATATTGTGAATAAATAAAGCTACACAAACAGAACCGAGAATGAACCCACCCTTGGTGTGGTCTAAGACTGAAGCATTCAGTTCACATTCTTTGCAGATGACACAGTTTTATGGTTTCTTTTATATGACTCAACTGGCTTTTCTTGTGTTCAAATGTTTGATTGATTTCTGCCTAAAAGCTGAAACTTTCCAAAATGTGTGTAAATGTGATAGATATTTATGTATGTGGTAGATATGCATATGTAAGATCTTAGTAAGTATCTTACTAAGAATGTTTTTGCTTTTCAATGTTTCAGTAAAATGGAACTTGGAAAAAGTTCATGTTTACACAACTTTCTTAGTAAAAGATGATCTAATCTAACTTAATTGCTCTTTTATTTTTTATTTACATTTTGAGAAATAGCTGTTGGGATCTCAACTTTTATCAAGACTGACCACTGATTAACTTCGACATCTACCATTTTTGGAAAAATAAATGCATATTTCTTTTCTGCTATTGTAATTTTCATTACTCTACTGTTAAAGTGATAAGATAAAGATGTAGCCAATGCAGCTGAAAAGCTTTGTTCTTTCGTGAACATGGGAAATCAGTTAAACTGTGGCCTCCAGGTTACTTAAAAGGATATGAAATTTTAAAGTGTGAAAATATGATTCAAATGAATTCATCTTTCCTGTTTTTATATTTTTTACTGTTATTAGATTATTTCTTATGTAGTCTGAACTGAAACTGAATTGTAGAAAATCTAATCTACTTGCAGAAAAGCACAAGGTGTAACACATGATAAAATGGTAATATGTAATGAGCTATATTTAAAATTAATGCAAAACTGATTCTATTGAAATTGTCCAATGAATAGGAAAGGGCTGGTTTTCTCTTCTCTTCTACATACGCTACAAGTTCTTGTGCAACCTCCAAATTTGTTGGGAACTATTGGCATTTGATACACAATTTTATTGCTTCAGGTTTTCAGGCCCTAAAAGGAGGAGGTATTGTCAAAATTACACATATGCTGTGGTAACCAGCTTGTCACATTTTATCAGATGAGTTGTGATATCTAAATGTCTATAATGTTATTTTAAAAAATGGCTTATTTCTGTTGTTTTCTCTCCATCCTCCAGGTAATGTTCATTTACACATCTGAGAAATCATGAACTCGGTGTCACTTGCAGCCATTTTTTGGTGTATCCTAATACCATCATTTGAGACCAGCAAGGTGAGGGAGGAAAATAGAGACAAAAATTAGTTTATAATTAAATAAAAAAATTGTTTATGGATTAATTTCTACACACAAACCTGAATTCATTTACTTGCTCTATTTTTTTATATCTGAATATAGTCTGCAATCTTTCACTCTATTTTTTTTGATAAACACAATTATCTCAGCATTCATCTATACTTTCAGATCCATGCTCTTCATTGTATCATATAGTCTTATCAGCCAACAACACAATATTATTAAATACAAATGTACATCTATGTTCATGGCCCCATTTATCACATATCTAATGATACTACAAACTTTCCTTATCTATTTATTTCACAAATACATTAATCAAGGAGATGTCATACAAGGAGATCTCTATCCTTATCTTATTCCCTGTTCAGTGTTTAATCATTCACTAAACATTCTATTTATTCTCACACAGGTTTTAATTCCATTATATACCAAGATTATTTCCCTCAGCGATTAACGTCCAATTTTATATGCCGGATGGGGAGCAATGGGCTGAAACTGATTCCTTGAAATATCAAATGAGACTGGGTTTGGGGTTCTTTGGTCCATGGAGAATTTCTGTCTCTGGTCTTGGAAGGGGTAGCACTGCCACAAGATAGATCCAGTGTGTAATGTGGAGGTTCTTCTGGACTCACAATTCCTGCTGAAGGAGCAGGTAGCAGTCATGGCCAGGAGGGCCTTTGTGCAGCTATGGCTTGTGCATCAGTTATGCTCTTTCTTGGACCAATGATCCCTCCTTGCAGTTAATCACACCCTAGTAACCTCCTATCTTGACTATTGTAATACTCTGTACAAGGAGCTGGTTTTGAAAAGAATCTGGAAGCTCCAGATTCTTTTCAAAATGCAGTGGACCATGTTGTTTTGTGTAGATGTGTACAGGTGTCATCTCTCCTGTACTACCAATCTGCTTCTGGATACAATTCAAGATACTGGTTGTCACCTTATAAACCCCCACATGGCTTGGAGTTAGGTTATCAGAAGGACTGTCTCTTCTCGGTTACATCTCTCTGACCTACCAGAGCTGGGAGTCAGGAAATGTGGGTCCCCTCTCCTATGGAGGTACATCTGGTGGGGCCCAGAAGGGCCTTTCCTCTTTTTAGAACATCCCTGTGGAGATTAGAGTGGCCTCCACATTGATATTCTTTTGCAAGGCCCTGAAGTTCTGGTTTTTCCAAAGTGTCTGGGAGTTCATCAAGTGGCTTATTGATTGATTGTTGTTGCCGGGGGAGAGTATTATTTTTTATTTTTTTGTATATTGGATTTTTATTTTTTGTAAGCTTGCCCAGAGTGAGTGGACAGCCATACAAATTTTCTTAAATAATTAAATGTTACTGAAGTAAAACTGATATAACAACCAAAATATGAAGGATCACAGATTCTCCAGCACAATATGACATGACTGGAAAGAGTATCGTTAACTACTTTACTTTGCAATGAGGGGAAACTATTGGTCACACATATTCAAGTTATGTCCTATTTTTCTTCTATAGACATTTGAAGACATCCGCTGCAAGTGTGTCTGCCCACCATATCGGAATATAACAGGACAGATTTACAAGAACAATGTATCACAGAAAGATTGGTGAGACAAATTTCAAAAGAGATTTTCAAAGCTCATAGAATGTTTGCAAGATGTGATTGTTCTAAAAAGCTGGCTTGAAAACTGCTCTTCAGTATAGGAAGACAGTGAAATGAAGTAGTCTCATGCTTTCAGTCTGATCAATTGGATACTTTCATCATGTAAATTTTATCTATTTGCATATCTGCCAAGGGAATTAACAGTGATGTAATAACAGTCTCAAAATTATCCAGCTAAATGTTACATTAAACTATGTATCCTTGAAAACAGGTGAACTTACATATGATAAAAGGTTTTTGATGCCTGTTGTTGCTTCTTGTTTCTCACAACTACAGTAACTGCCTGCATGTGGTGGACCCTATGCCAGTGCCAGGACATGATGTGGAGGCATATTGCCTGTTGTGTGAGTGCAAGTATGAAGAACGAAGTACCACGACCATCAAGGTAAAATACCAGCTTTTTCTGTCTTCTGTTGTCACTGTATAGAACTAAGAATTTGGCTGTTGACAACCGTCAAGGAAACTAAAAAGAATCTGAAAATATACTCACAAAGAAATTAGGATTGTGAGATTGAGGCAAGAGGGTCTATATTGGTATTTCTGGTTAGTGTTTCTCTTATACATATTACTTTGTAGTGAAAGTTGCATTTAAGAACCATATCTTAGATTTTTCCTTAAGAGATCAAAGAAATAATTTTAGTCATGTTTTAATTATGTACTGTATATAAATGTTTAGTTTTGGACTGTTCAACTTTGCTGGGAAAGGTATTATTTTATTCATCCTTTCTTAAATCTGATGTCTTCAACAATGCAGAATTTTGAATCTGCATAACTGCATATGCTTCCAGCAGATTGAAAAAGCATCAGATTGGGGAAAATCCAATCTGGTATCTTTGTCCATATTTTGATCTTTCTAAGCACTGGTAATTTTTTAGCTGATTTCCTCTATTACAATATAGATGTTGATGCTTTGCTTAAAATATGTTCTTTTATCCAGGATCTTTGATGACATTTTGTGTTCATGCAGATTATCATCATCATTTATCTCTCAGTGATTGGAGCTCTTCTACTCTACATGGTCTTTTTAATGGTAGTTGACCCTTTTATCCGCAAACCTGATGCCTATACTCAGCCCCTGCACAATGAAGAAGAATCAGAGGTGAGTTTTATGCTCTTTAAACAGATTTTTCCCCCATTTGGATTACCTGAATCTGCTATGCTCTGCATGTTGCTTCCCACAATCCCTCACTTAGTAGATTGTGGGAATTAAAAGCTAATAATTTTGGAAAGCATGAGATTCTGAAAGGCTTGGCAGTAATCAGACTTTTAAATCTATGTGTTCAGCAGTGGAGATTTCTACATAAGAATCACTTTACAGAACAAAGTGATTGGTATGTAGAAACCTCCATGTATGCTTATTCACTTATTCACATATTTATTCACATAATGTTTTCTATATGCACAGTGATGGAAGTCTTCCCAGACAGAGCGTACCTTGTTCAGTATACAGCCCTTTCCCTCTAGATACCCTTCTCCCCAGTGCACACACATCTTCATCTTTTCCAGACAGCAGAATGCCTGAAGAGGGTTCAAGATATGCCTCAAAATCTGTTTCTATAATCAACACTCAGAACTCACATTTCCAAGCTGAAACACTGCAGATAAGTTGAGACTGCAGTTTTCTGAAGTCTGGAGGTGACCTGGTTAGAAAAGGCAACTTTAAACAATTAGTGACATAAAGGAATTGGATTTCTTTCTATGATCTCATTTTAGATTGTGGCTTACATCTTTAAAGTTCATGCACATTAAATACAAGCACATTTTGTTTTGAAGAAAATATTTTAACTATGTTTCCTGAAACAACACAATTCACATTAAGCCATAGTACAAAACCAAAGGATTTTATTTTGTATGTCATTCATTCATTTGAATTAGAATGCTGAAGCAGTGTCTATAATAAGGCTGTTTGTTTCAGAACAGTTTTCTGAACTACAGCTCATTATGATCAAGAAAGAGACCTGGGAGTTATATTTCAGAAATATCTCCTGCTTTTGTTTTAAAGAATATGGCTGCAGTGCAATATAACATGGTTGTATTGACTATGGAAATTTATATTTTTGGTAGACAGAATGTTATCCAGACATTTCACTATAACTCCTTTGTGTTTGTTTTCATAGAAGGTAACTAACCATTCTTAATAATCTGAAGCATACCGCAGTAATATCGCTGCCTTGGGATATTTCCTGTTGTTAATGATGAGCAATTAACCTTGCTATTTTCACAGTGTGCATGAATATAACATACCTGTACATTCTGTTTTTAAAAATATTTTGATTTGTCTTTGTAGCCCAAGGTGGAGCATTACTACTGCGCATCTGAAATGCTTTTTCTCTGAGATGTTTCTTCTTCTGTTACTGCAGGATCCCTGTTCCTTGACAGCCATACGTCCCTCAGCCAGTGCCAGAACCAATACAGTGCTGGAGAGAGTGGAAGGAGCCCAGGAAAGGTGGAAGCGTCAAGTGCAGGAGCAGCGGAAGACTGTGTTTGATCGGCACAAGATGCTAAGCTAGACCTTTTGTTTTAGTGTGACCTGCAGCTGCTGGTTAGCTAGGCAAAACTTTGTTTGCCAATACAGACCCCAAATCTGTAGTTGAAATATCTTGCACCCGCTGTTCCTGATTGGGTTTGCTTGTTGTCCTCCTCCTCAGTCCACCCAAGAGAATAGGCTGCATTTGAAGCAAGCTGCTGGCTGTACGTTCCATCTGAGGGCTGCCGCTTGCTTTATTTGTTGCTGTCAGGAAAAAATAACTCTAGGATAACTATTTGACTTCAAAGTGAGAAACAATTGCAACTTTGGGTTCTCTAATCTGCCAAGCACCTGGTTTGGTGATAAAAATGTGGCATGCATTTCTTCGTTATTGCTTACTAACCTGTGGCTTGGCTTTCAGCTCAAGTTGGATGTATTATTAATGGAATGAGAAAAGCAATATCCTTTTCATTCCATTGACTGTATGCCGCTGTATGATTCTTCACTGTTGCAAAATACCTACAGAGAAGTGGCTTGGATCTATGTGTAACATGCTAGTTTGAAAAGTTGGCACTAAAGATAGAAATGCAATAAGGGAAATTAACTTAGCAAAAAGGAGTTACTGTATTTGGCTCATAAATTCTTAGATTCTTCCTTCAAGGATTTCTTTCAGGATAGTTAACTTTACACCAAAGAAATTTGGACAGATTTTTTTTAGCACTATCATAGCTAATGGTAAGTTGTGGTTAACCCATCACAAGAATGATCTGGATGAGTTCTGTGCTTCCCAGTCTCCTAAAGGGACCAAACCAAGAAGCTCGTGGGTGCCTCTTTCACATGAAGATTTTTAAACAATCAAGAGACTATACAGATTCTTGTATTTCTCTGATTTGGAGATAGCTTAATTGCTGCCTAGGTTAAATCTCAATTTTCACAGTACATTGAACAGATGAAGCCATTACTGTTCATAGAATTTCATATGCAAACAAAGAATGCTTTGCACATGTTAAATATTGCAAATACTTTGCTTCAAAAATTATCTGCACAGGAAGGAAACTGGATTATTTAGTGCAAAGGAAATTGCCCTTCTACATGTGGCAGTTTATCCCAGTATGTAGAACTGGATTCTACTATCAAAGGACATTTATAGAAACATAGCCTTAGATTTTAATATCAGTTCAAAGAGTGACATGCAAAATGAAAAATAAAATTTAACTTGACTTAATGGAAAATTTACTGCATGCATTTGGATTTTTCCCCCTTGGCCTACCTGGCCATAATTATTTTTTTGTAATTTTACAATACATCGACCAACCACTTGCCCAGATGTATGAGACATTGTATTAAATTTGTTTTTTATGGTACTTGTAGCAGCCAGATTTATGCCACCAATTAAGGGAAGTATTATTAACACTATGTAATGGTGAAATGTAATGTTGTAATGGTTGCTCAAATGCAAAAGACACTACCAAGATATCTTCAAGTTTGGACAGTATTTTTTCTGCATGCCAAAATATTTATGTATTAAATGATCTACTTTATGTCTTAAAATATTTCTGGCAGTTGGAATCAGTCTTTGTTACTATGCAGCATCTGTTCATTAAAGAAAGTATGTACAATATCACAGATGTCAGGCATGATTCAATAACTTTTTTGCAGAAAGAAATACCAATCACTCAAGGGCTCAGAGAATGCATAAAAACAGAGTCTAAATTCATAAAATAAATGCTAGCCATACCATATGTGGGGGCTGTTGAAATCCAGTAAATATTGCAAGTCATAAAGTTTTCTGTATCTCTTTGTTGTTTCTATAATCATCTATATTTTATAAACCAATTATGTCTATGTATTATATTTCTCAGCAGCTGTTTACTAAGCACAGATCTGCAAAAAAAATTCTTGTTATCCATTGGTTACACAGAAGTATGTGGCAAAGGATTTGACTTTATTTACCAAAAACATTTCTAAGCCATTTTTCATTCAAATATTCGACATGATGTAGAAAAAGAAATCAGCAACAAAAAAGTAGACTGAATAACAGTGTTCTAATATGTTAGAAATTAAATGTGATAAAACAAGAGCTCTAAAATCATGATGCTAACACTATTAATATAATAATAAGTTATAATGTGAACAAATAATGTGTTCTACAACACTTTACATCCTATTCTAAAGGAGAGAAACTAATGTCTAATGATAATATTGGAAAAGGAACAGAAGCTACTTTTTTAAAACTTCTTTCTTTTCTCCCTCTTTATTTTTTTTAAACTGGCACTTCTAAATGTATGTTGTATGCCTAAAGTGATTTTAAGCTAGCTAAAAAATTACTCATGGGGATGCCAACGAAAGATACATATCCTAGGTCAGTATTAACTACAGTTAGGAGACCTGAAAGGAAGTCTGAGGACAACCTTGTTCCCTAGAACCACCTCAGTGCATGAATATTAAAAATCAATAGCATCATTTCATGCTATCTTGAGATACAAGAAACTTGGACAGCATAGTTAACTTCTCATAGATTTAATGCAATTTAAAAACAAGTGTTAACTCTTCAGTTATAGAATTTGTTTCCAAGAAAACAATATACATGCATCTTCTATCCAAATCTATGTAAGATAGCAACTCATGTTGGGCCTCAACTTAGTATGCACCCTCCCGTCCCATACTTCCCTGCAGAGAGGGCCTTCTCTGTTGCTGCGCCGGCCCTGTGGAACAATCTACCCGCAGAGATCCGGACCCTTACCACTCTCCCGGCCTTCCGTAAAGCCGTTAAGACCTGGTTGTTCCGGCAGGCCTGGGGCTGTTGATGGATATCCAGTCCCCGCTTAGATGTAATGGATGATGTGAATTTTTAATATTGTATTTTTCTATTTTTAAATTTAAACTGTTTCTGTCTTGCTGTGAGCCACCCAGAGTCCCGATGGGAGTGGGCGGCATACAAATTTTAATAAACCTTTAAACCTTTAAACCTTCTTCCCTAAACATTTTGTAGGAGTGGATGAACCAAAAATAGGTGTTAATTTATGGTACATTTGTGTTTTAATTTATAAAGCATTTGAGTAATTTGTTTTCCAACAATCCCAACCTATACAAACCTAGTCTTGTGTGACCACTTGAAGCCGAGTATGAAACTTAACCCCACACCCCACCCCCAACAAGAATGGCATACAAAAATATAACAGTACATTATTCTAAATCAGTATACAAACATACTAAAACTATATGTGAATTCCTCCAAAATATAAATATTGGTGCCCTTTTCTATTTCTTCCCTTTGTGTTTCTGCATAGTCTTATTAAAGGAAGTCCTTGGTAAAGTTGGGATTATTCAGCAAAAGTGCATGGGAATCTGAACAGGTGTCCTTAAAGTTATACTGGATCAACAGGATCCCTTTCACTTGAATCTACCTCAGCCACATTATGAAAGCTTTAGATTTTAGGAATGCATGATGTTTCTTTCCTATTAGATCTTTTTTTTTTCATCAATCATAGTTGACTATTTTTAACAGGTCCAACACAAAAATAACCCACCAGGACATTATTCTCAGGATGATTTTTCAGGAACAAATGATGAAAAAATTGTTTATGCTGAGCTACTTAGCATAAGAGATTTTTATTTAAATGAGTAGAGGGGCTTTTAGAACCACCTCTCCTAGGCATTCTCTTAATGACTGCTGCAAAACAAGATACCTAAATTGGGCAGGTCACATGATAATTTACTTTTATGACCATCACAACTTAGGGCCATAATGGGCAGGCTCATATAAGTCATAAATTGAGGACCACCTTTATTTTGCAAGCATTTTTACTGACAGCTCCAGGAAGGACTGCATTTTAAAGAGCAATTGTGTCACTGGCATGTTGTTATTCCTCTGAGCTAAGATGGTGATGATTCCTAAAACTAGATCCCCAGATGTATGAAGAACATAATGGCAAATAAAGGACCCTTCAGTTTTTGATAATGGTTTAAGACAAACTCTTTTAATGGACAAATTATCATCTTGGCTTCCCTGAATGTCACCTCTGGAAGACCGTAGAGCCTTGACTGGTGCCTACTCCATGTCCTGGGCTTTGGCAGTTCAGGAGGATGAGGAGACCTTATTCTGCAGATCCAAGACCATGGCATTTGATTTCTTCCTTCACTGCCTCTTTCTTAAGTGCTTCCACTTTCTCCAGTTTAGCTTCTCCTCCTACCACACTATTACTTGGACAATGTTGTTTTTTTTAAATCCTGCCTTTACAATTTTTATAAGTAACTGGAGGCAGTGAACAAATCCAATACTCCTTCCTCACACTGTTTTCCGCACAACAGTCTTGTGAGGTGCATTGGGCTGGGAAAAAAGTGATTGACCTAAAATCACCCAGCTGGCTTCCACACCTGAGCTGGACTCTGGCGATTAGGATCAGAACCAATGGATTGAAATTATATTGGTGAGTGTCAAATTCAATATTGGAAGGTATTTATTAGATTTTTTTTTAAATACTATCTTTATTACTTTTATAAGTAACTCAAGAGCAGCGAACATAATAATACCCCTTGGTAAGGAGTATTAAAACTATCCCAAATTCCAAGGAAATCTTCACAAGGAATAAGAACCTAGCACTGAAATTATTGCATTCACGGATTGTTTCAGTATTCTTGCAGCTTTCCAAATATGTGACAAGGCATCGCGCATTAAGCCAGCACCCGGAAAAATTGGATATCACGGCAGGAGCAGAATATCAGAATAAAATCAGAATAACAGGGCGGAAAGGAACCTTGGAGGTCTTCTAGTCCAACCCACTGCTAGAGCAGGACAAAAGGCTACACGGCCTTTTCACCTCTCCTGCTTTAAATGTTCTGTCGTCCAACCCGGAATCCAAAGAGCGCAGCGGTTTCACTGAACGTTTAAAATTTAAGTAACCGTTCTAAAATGATTAATACTCCCTTAAATCGGGGCAGCGGCTTTGGTTGATTTCTAGCAACGTCTACTATAGTGACATCACCAGAAAAATCACAGCGAAAGGCGGACCAGGCCGTTTCTAGGAGCCGACACTGTTGGGTAAGCCTCTTGTTCCGTCGCCAATAGCATAAAAACCCCGATGTGGGTTGGGAGAAAACGGGGAGCAGTTTCCATAGCAACCTGTTGTATTGTGGGTGTAGCGAAACCTGGAAGAATACGATCTCCGCCCGTTGATCTGCGTGTTTCTCTGGTGGTTCGTGTCCTGAAAAATTGTATACTTTGAAAGGGAATTTAAAGCGCCAGGAGAAGCTGATCAGCTAACAACTATAAACTCCTGCCGTTCCTTCAGGAATTGCAGTAAAAGGCACCCTTATTTAATTAGCGGTGGTTTTTTTTATTATCATAACGTGTATACAATCTCTTCACCTTTTCATTTACATTAAAAAAAAACACCCAAGTTCTGCATAATGAAGAAAAATTAAGTCCGTTGCAGAAGAGGAGGGGGAAAGTAGTTGGCCATCAAAGTTGGGAAATCTGGGAAAGCTGGCCATTGTGCAAGTGAGCTTCCTGTCTCTTTCCCCTCTATTTATACTTTATACTTTTTAAATACTTCAATGTTTTTTACTTTTTAAATAATTTTTCTCCCTGAGCAGGGGGAAATGTCTCCTCTTCATCTTCCTTCCCTTTAAATTTGGAGTACTTTACAGCGGAAAGGGGAAAAAGTGTAAAATTTAGCAATAGTACTTGGACTTATATACAGCTTTACAGCCCTTTCCAAGCAATTTACAGAGTCAGCATCTTTCCCCCAACAATTTGGGTCCTCATTTTACCCATCTCGTAACCATAGAAGACTGAGTCAACCTTGAGCCTGGTCAGATTTGAACTGCCAAGTTGCAGGCTCTAGTCAGGCAGCAGAATTAGTCCGCAGTACTGTACTCTAACCACTGTGCCACCACTGCAGATGCTTAAGAAAAATGTATCAGGCAGAACTCACAAGGAATACGTGGTCTTTCTTTACAGTACATGCTTTAGGATGGGCGGGGGTTAAAATCACAAGAATGGCAAGAGATGGGGTTTGAGGGGAGATCTGTTCATGGGTATTGCAATCCCATCACATGGTCACCCAGTTTCTCTCGGAAATGATGAGTAGATGTGTATCTCTTCAGTCTCTACACAGACCCATCTCTCCTCTTCAGTCCAAGCTTGACCTCAAAAATAGATTCAAGTTTTGGCTGAAGGTGATGTCATTTCCAAATCAATAACTCAGTGTAAGGTTCAGGAAAGCTTTTGCAGCTTATGTTGTGTGGTTATTACATGATTAATTTCCAATTTTCTGGCTTGTTGCGTATAAGTAAACATTAGAATGCAATTAATATTATCTACTTAAACCAAAGATTCATGGAATAATATACAGGCTATCCCAGCAGAGTTTCTTGGGTCCCAAGAAAGTTTCCTTATAAATCTATGGATGTTTGTCCTGGATGCCCAGAGTATAAACTACAAACAACCTGAAATGTCACAAAACTGTCAGTTGTTTTTAAACATGCTTGGAAACCATCTAAAGCCCTAAAGAGCATTGCAAGGTTGCAGAGCAGTCCCAATAAAGTGATGAAATAAAGCTTCATGAATAGAACAGGCAAAGAACCCATGCTTGAAGTGGTATAATAGTTGAAATATTCAATTCACATTTCTTGCAGGTGACGGGAGAGTTTTGTGGTCTTTTTGATGTGACTTGACTGACTTTTCTATGTCCACCTGTTTGATGGTTTGCGGCCAAAAAGCTGAAACTTTCCAAAATATATGTAAAAGTGAAGAGCATCTAAGATAGATATGGTAGATAGCATATGTAAGATCCAGTATCTTGCTAAGAATACTTTTGTTTTCAATGTTTCCATAAAATGGAACTTGGAGGGGGCTCATTTTTACACAAACATTTCTTAGTAAATGATGAGTTAATCTCATTAATAGCTCTTTTTATTTTATTTGCATTCAGATAGACAGCTGCAGGGATCTTGAGCTTGCTTTTTAATTAAGAGTGATCACTAATTAAGTTTGGTTCTACAAATAAAAGCAGCTACCTTGAAGGACAAGGTAGGAATATTTTGTTTCCTATAATTATAATTTCATTCTTGCATAGTTCATACTGCTATTAAAGATATAAGATTAAGATGCATTTTAATCAGTGTAGTTGAAGCGTTTTGTAAACATGGGAAAATAAGTTACAATGTGGCCTCCATTTTAATTAAAAGAACATGAAATTTGAAATAATAAAATTGTGATCTTTCCTGTATATTGATTTTTTTCTTAATGTTATTAAATTATTTCCTGTATCTGAAAGCCACTGCACATCTTTTGCAGACAACCCAAAAAATGTAATCTAGTTGCAGAATAGCACAAGGTGTAATATCTGGTAAGATAATAATATGTAATATTATATTTTCTATATTTAAAATCTAACTCTAGATTGTTTTTAAATTAAATTGTTTCCTCTGCCAAAGGAATTGGAAAAGACTGGTTTTGTCTTCTCTTCCACACATACTGCAAGTTCTTGGCTTTTGATATATGTTTCTATTGAGGAAACCAGCTTGTCACATTTTAGCAATTGAGTTGTGATATCTAAATGTCTATAATGTTATAAAGAATTGTCTTATTTCTGTTGTTTTCCTTCCACCCTCCAGGTAATGTTCATTTATACAGTTGAGAAATCATGAAATCAATGTCACTTGCAGCCATTTTTTTGTGCATTCTAATACCATCATTTGAGACCAAGGTGAGGGAAGAAAATAGGGAGAAAAACTGATTATGTTAATGTTTATTATTTGCTTTTGGATAAATGTAATGGTCATGTTTACCTATGTCATCATAGTATTATAGGAAGCCAGGCCAACATAGCTCAGTTCAAGCATTTACTAAATCATGGTTTATTTTTAATACAATTTGTTGATAGCAATAGCATTTAGACTTCTGCTACTATGTGCACTTCAGTTATAACAGATATGTAGAAATGCCCATTATGCTATTCCTTTTTTGGGCAACAGTGTTATATAGAGTAGGGGAAAAAATAAGAAACGGCAAGCGAAAAAATTTTAAAGCATAAGGTTAAAAAAGGGGAAAGGAGTCATAGCTAAAATTAGTTTATACTTCTTCATATATTTCTATTTGTGCAAGCCGTCCTTTGTTCCAGAGAGTAGTTAGGTAGGTAGGTAGAAAAAGGGAGGGAGAGAGAAATAGAGAGAGAAATACAGTAGGCAGGTAGGGAGGGAGAGAAAGTGTGTGCAGGTTGGTTGGTAGGTAGAGGGATAGATATAGAGAGAAATAGAAAGAGATAGAGAGAAATAGAGTAGATAGATAGTGAGAGAGAGTAGGTAGGTTGGTAGGCAGAGGGATAGAGAGAGAAATAGAGAGATAAAGAAATGCAGTAGGTAGAGAGAGAGAGAGAGTGGGTAGGTAGGTAGGTAGAGGGATAGAGAGAGAAATGGAGAGAGAGAAATACAGTATAGGTAGGTGTTTCTGCTGGCACACACTTGATCAATGTAATTCTCTTCAAAGAGAAGAGCTTTCCAAAAGAAAAAAATAGTTTTTGCACTGTGCAAACCTCCCCAAAAAGGCCCATTTTTAAAAAAGCATGAATAGCCTGGGGGGGCGCCTTGCAGAGCGCTCCTGGGGGGGGCAAAAACGAACAGAAAATGCCCCGTTTTTCACAAAAATGGGCCTGTTTTTTATCAAAAGAATTGCATGCATAGCCTTGTGGAGGCTTATAGAGTGCTGCGGGGGTGGGGGGGCAAAAAATGGCCCCTTTTTTGCTCATTTCTGCCCTCCCCAGCCCCCAGGAACTCTCTGAAAGCCTCCATAAGGGTATGTACTGCCCTTTTGGTGAAGGGGCGGGGCTTCAGGAGGCAAAAAATGCTGTATTTGGTGTATAAGACGCACCCAGATTTTCAGCCTCTTTTTTGAGGAAAAAAGGTGTGTCTCATACTCCAAAAAATACGGTATATTAAACAATTAAGGAGATTTGATGCACATGTTCTTGTCTTATTCTCTCTTAAGTGTTTAATCATTCACAAAAAGGATTCTATTTTATTTTATTTTATTTTATTTTATTTTATTTAGTCTCCCATAGGTTTTAATTCCATTATATGCCAGTCATCATCCTCGGCAACTAATATTCAATTTTATATGTTATTAAAGTAAAACTTGGAGCTGCAATAGCCAAGATGTAGATCAAGTAGACCTTAAGGTTCTCCAGCAGGGTATGAGGTGATTGAGGAGAATGTTGTTAATTACTTTACTTTGAAATGGGGCAAAACAATTGGTCACACACTGCTTATCTTATTTTTCTTCTATAGCAATTTATGCCCAATGGCTGCTACTGTTTCTGCCCACCATATCAGAATTTAAGTGCAATGACTTTCTGGAAAAAAGAATTTCAGGATGACTGGTGAGACAAATTTCAAATATCATAGAATTTCTCAAGATGTGATTGTTTTAAAAAGCTGATTTTAAAACTGTTCTTCAGTATAGGAAGTCAGTTCAGTGAAATGAACTAAAGACTCACACTTTCTGTCTGTTTACATTGGATACTTTCACCATGTGCATTTTATCTATTTATGTATGGTCATCATTGATCAAGGGAATAATAGTTCCAAAATTAGAGTTTTTCCAAGAGCTATTAGATTCACATTTGAGATCTTATTTTATTTTTCATTTATTGGATTTATAGGCTACTCCAATCGTGAAAGAATGTGAAGAGAAATATTCTAGATTTCTAGAAATATTCTAGAATTACTTCTCTAATTACTTCCTGTTGTCTCCCTAACGACATTTTCAAAGCTTTGATGGAAGTCATAATGTTTTAGGTAGGAACCAACAGCTGAATGCCAGTGTCTTTGATAGCTATGTTAGCTGCTGGAAGATGAAATTCTGCAGTTCTGGGAATGCTTTTAAAGTTGTTATGTAAGAATTATTAAGTCATATTGAAAAAAATAGGTTCAGAAATATTTTTATATGAAAACTGACTGAATCAAATATTCTTACTCTATAGATATTGGCCTAAAATTAAACAGTCCAAATAAGCCAAGAATTTTGAAAATGGATAGAGTTTCTCCTTTTATTCACTACACAGAGCAATTAAATGTAGAATTTTTCAATTAACTATGTTTTCTGTTTCATTTAAACTTAGAAACCAGTTATAATTTGGAGCACATTAGGCTCTTAAGTCAATTTGAGATCATGGGTTGACTGTAATTTGATATGAACCAGTTAATCAAAATTTTCCAGATTTGATCAAATACATTTAATTGAAGTAATGAGTGGAGAAAATAAAAGTGAATGCTTGGATAAAGGGTTCTTATGTATCTTGGCTTATTAAACCAATATATGACCATCCATAGATAGTCAATATATCCTCCCAAATGTTACATTAAACTCAATACCCTCTGGAACAGGTGGACTTCCAAGGGATGGATTTTTTATACTTATTGCTGCTTCTGGTTTCTCACAATTGCAGTAATTGCCTATATACAATGGAGCCGATGCCAGTACCAAGACATGAAGCCGAGGCATATTGCTTGCTATGTGATTGCAAGTTTGTGGAAAGAAATAACCCTGCCACTAAGGTAATATATCAGACTATCTCTTACACCAGCTTTCTCTGTCTTCTTTCCTCAATGTATAGAACTAGGAATTTTGACTGATTCCAGCTGTCAAGGAAACTAAAACGACTCTGAAAATATAGTCACAAGGATATATGCACTATGGCATTGAGGCAAGAGTGTCTACTGTGGTATTTCTCATGTAGATCTTGTAGTTAAAACCAAATATATTGTTGCATGAGAGTTAACTTCTCTAGAGAAGCAAGTACATGCACTGGGGGACTCATCTTATGTTCTTGTTTTGGATTGTTTAACTCTGCTAGGAAAGCTGTCATTTTCTTCATTATGATCTTCTCTTTCTAACAGTGCTGATTTCCATTTTTCCAATATAGATGTTGACGCCTTGCTTAAAACATATTCTTTTATTCAGTATGTTTGATGATATTTCGCTTCTCTGTTCATGCAGATTATCCTCATCGTTTTGCTCTCAGTATTTGGAGCTGTTTTACTTTTAAAAGTCTTTTCAGTGGTAGTTAAGTACTTCATCCATAAACCTGATGCCTATACTAAGCCCCTGCACAATGAAGAAGTGTCAGAAGTGAGTTTGATGCAGGTTTTGTTTTCATTCAGACGGTCTGAATCTGGTGTCTTCCATATGTTTGTTCCTATACTACCTCATTCAATTGATTGTGGGAATGAAAGTAAATTTGAAAAACCTTAGAACCTTGTAGAAGGTTCATCTTGCCAGCAATCAGGTTGTTAAATGTATGTGTTCAGTAAAGTAATTTGTATTTAGAAATCTGCATGTATGCTTATTCACATAAAGTTTTCTGGGAAGAACCCTTCCCACTCAAAGAGGACATCTTGTTCAGTGTGCAACCCTTTCTCTCTACTCTTCAACCCAGTGCATGCACAAATTCATCCTTTCCAGACTGCACAATGTCTCAGGAGGGTTTAAGATATGCCTTAAAATCTGTGTCTATAATCAGCACTTCAAACTAACATTTTCAAGCTGAAACACTACAGATAAGTTGGGAGTGCAGCTTTCTCAAGTTTGGAAGTGACTGGGTTAGAGAAGGCAGCTTTAAACAATTAGTGAATGTAGGATTTCATTCTAGATTGTGGATTGCATTTTTGAAGTTCAAAAACATTAAATATGTTTTCATAGATAGTAGTCATCTTAAGAAGGCTTCTCTATTACCACTGCTTGAATATGTTTTCTCTTGTTAATGATCAGTAACTTAATTTACTCTTGGTATTCATAGTGTGCATATGCTTATATTTGTTCATTCTGATTTAAGAGTAATTGATGTGTCTCTGTAGTCCAACGTGGAGCATTATTACTATGCATGTGAAATATTCTTTTTTGGTGATGCTTCTTCTTCTATTACTGCAGGATCCCCACACTTGATCTACTCCCCAATCCACCTAAGAGAATATGCTGCATATGAAGCAAGCTACTAGTTGTACATTACATTGATGAGCACTGCCATTTCCTTTATTTGTTGCTGTCAGGAAAATAATAACTGTAGGATAACTATTTTACTTCAAAAGTGAGAAACAATTGCAACTTAATTTGGTTTCTACAATCTTCCAAGCATTGGTCTGGTTTGGTGATAAAAATGTGGCATGCATGTATTTGTTATTGCTTACAAACCTGTGGCTTAGGTTTTAGCTCGAGCCGGATGTATTATTAATTGAATAAAAACAGCAGCATCATTTTCATTCCCTTGACTGCCAATATATGATCTTTCACCCTTGCAAAATATTACAGAGAAGTGGCTTGGATTCTGTCTTTAAATTCTGACTGCTTTGAAAAGTTGGCACCAAAGACAAAAATGTAATGAGGAAAATTTATTTAGCAAAAAGGAGTTACTGCATTTGTATCCTAAATTCTTACAGATTCTCCCTTCAAGGAATTTTTTTTTTTCAGGATAGTTAACTTTACACCAAAGAAATACGGACAATTTTTTTTAGCACTGTCATAGTTAAATTAGTTAACCCATCACAAAAATGACTCTGGATGAGCTTTGAGTTTCCCAATCTCCTTAAGGGACCATAACCAAGAGGCTTGTCGATGTCTCCTCCACATGCAGATTTTTTAAACAGTCAAGTGATTATACAGAATACAGACTCTTGTATTTTTTGCTGAATTCACTGGATTATTTAGTGCAAAGGAAATTGCCCTTCTACATTTGGCAGTTTATCCCAGTATGCAAAACTAAATTCCAATATTGAAGGACATTTAGAGAAATATAGCTTTATATTTTATTATTGTCCCAAGAAGTGCCATGTAACATGTATTTTTTAAAATAAAATTTAAGTTGGTTTAATAGAAAATTTCCTGTATGATATTGGATTTTTTTCCCTTGGCCAACATGATTACAATTACTTATTTTATTCTAATTTTACAATACATCTTGCCCAGATGTATGGAACCTGTAGCAATCATGTCTAGGTCAACAATTAAGGGAAAGTAGCATTAACAGTATATAACACTGAAATGTAATGTTGTAATGGTCTCTCAGGACCTACTTCCAAAAGATCTTGAAGGATGGATAGTATTTTTTCTGCATGCTTAAATATTTCAGTATTAAGCAAGCTACTTTATCTCTTGAAGTATCTCTGGCAGAGTGGATCAATCTTCGTTGCTGTGCAGCACCTTTTCATTAAACACAGAACGTTAGTATAACATAGGTATCAGGCATCATTCAATACTTTTTGTTCAGAAGGAGATATTATGCAAAGGTTTGGAAAATATGTAGAAATGGGGAGGGAATTCCTAAAATATATGTTAGTCATACCATATCTATGCTATAAAAATCCAAATGACCACTTATGGGTATCCATATGGTCCAGCCATGTCTAAAATACAATATGCACATTGTATCATCAGCTGGTTACTAAGTATGCATCAAATCTGAGATGGTATTTGCACCCAGTTTGGCCCGGATTGGGTGAACGTGGTAGCAGCGGGAGGCTCCACCCACCTGCCCAGACGCTTATGCGCAACCTTGAGCACACCCGAACCAGTAGTAAAAAAAATAGCAACCTACCACTGCATCAAATGTTATACATTATCTACATGCAAGTATCTGGTGAAACATTTGATTTTATATACTGAAAATATGTAAAAGCTATTTAAATTCAAATATTCAGTGATGTACAAAAAAGAAGTAATAGAAAAAAGCTCTCTAAATGTCAACAATAAAATATGATAAAATCACTGAAATGAGTCATGTTGTTAATATTATTAATACAGCACTGGCAATAACTCCAAATATTTCTAGTACATTTTGGAAACTATTGGGTTTTGATAGGAAGCCATTAAAATGTATGATTGGGGCATTAGCTTAATACTGTTCCTCTAGAGCTGAAACTCAGGCAGTAATAACAATGGCCATGCTAGCATGAGTTGAACAAAGGTGCCATCTGGAGGAAAGCAGATTGATAACTTTTTTACAACAGTGATCGGTCTTGACTTGTTAGTAGTTCAGGCAAGAATTTCTGCAATCTTTCCTAGAGATTTTGAAGATTGAACCTGAGACAACTTTATAAACAGATAATGTTTAACACCCCACTGCTAATGAAGAGAAATTAATATAATATGTGGGGAAAAGATTCTCCATATAGTGTACTGTTTCCATTCCTAGCTTCAATTATTGCCCCTAGAGTCTTGGTAATTATTTTTCTTTCTTTTTTGGAAGGGGAGAGTGGGGGGACACAACTATTGCTGAAGAAGAATGAACAAAAATAACTGGCTTTCTAATTTTTCCATCTTCTGTTTTTTTTTAAATAATTTTTTTAGAAGTTGTGACCTTTTTGCTTAACTACCGTTACGTTCAGGTTATTTTGAACTTTAGCTTTCCTGATACTATCCCTGCAATTCAGGGATACCTGTATATATTCTTCCCTGAAAACCCTTTTCTCATCTTAAGTATTCACCTTCTCTTCCTGACCTCTGCGATTAAACAGTACATTATTTTAAAAGTATACAAATATATTAAAATTCTATGCCAATCCCCCCCCCAAAGCAAATAAAAATATAAACAGTGCTCTTTTTCATTTCTCCCCATTGTGTATAGTTCTCATTTCTTTTCACTTGATTCTACCACAGCCTCATAAAGCTTTAGATTTTAGGGACGTACAAACTTTGATTTCTTCATGTTAGATCATTTTTAATCATTATAACCAATCATTTTAACGGGTCCAATAGATTAATAGAAATAATGTACCAGGAGATTATTCTGTAGATGTTTTTAAGGAACAAATCACAAAGTAACAGTTTATGCTGAACTAGTTAACTTAAGTGAATATTAATTAAATGAGTAGAGGGGCTTTTAAAACAGCCTCTCTTATCCTCTTAACTTTGCAACGCTTACTGTAATCCAAACACCAGATCCATACTGTGAAGTCTAGATATGAGATTCTGCAGTTTCAGCAGAGTTCAATAACTATCAACTACAATACATAATGTTCATATTCTTTTTGCTTTTTGTCCATACTGCATCTGCATTTGATGTATTACCAAATCACTAGTAATTGATGAAAAGTATAAAAGTATGCCTGTAAACCACCTCATAACATCCATATCCTTCAGTTTATCAATTTTCTGTTTAAAAGGATCAACAATCTTCAGTTATATTTTGAGAGAAGATGTGACTTTGAAAATATTAGTGGAACACTATCTTGCACCTTTAGAAGAATGCTGAAATAGACAATAATGGCAATCTCGTCCGGGACTTAATTTTAGACGAGAGGGCAGACCTGGCATGTATTACTGAAACCTGGCTGGGCCCGGAGGGAGGAGTCCCCCTCATAGAGATGTGCCCAGAAGGATTTCAGGTACTGCATCAGCCGAGAGCCCAGAGAAGGGGTGGGGGTGTGTGGCCATTGTCATCCGAGAGTCTTTAGTACCTCGTAGGATCCCTGCTCCGGAGCTTGTCGGGTGTGAGTCCCTGCTGGTAAAGTT